AATCATTGGCAGCATTGAGGGGTTTCCAAATGCAGGCTGGGGAGATGAATGGCTGGAGCTGGGTGGCCAGCGGTGGGGGTGGGACTGCAGGGGGCAGCTCAGATGGTGGGAAGGAGCAGCGGGAGGCAGGGGCAGGGGCAGGGGCGGAGACCAAGGCCTGGGGGTCTGCTCTGGGACCAGCACTCCAGTCTTCAGCAGCCCTGGGCACTCAGGGTTGGTTGCAGCCACTTCAGCCCCCGCACCCCATCTTCCTCAGCTCCTAAACCCAGCTCCCCACAAAGGCTTCTCTGGCCCGAGAAAAGAGGCTGAGCGTGGGGGAGAGGCTGGTCACAATGACAGAACACTCACTCACCTCTGTTGACTACACATTTATTAAAAGCCCCGCAGGTCCGCTGGGCACTGGCCTAGGCGGCGAGGGATGTTGCCTCCATCCTAGGGGAGACAGGTGAGGACAAGCGACAGCTCCTCTCCAGCCCCGGGGCACGGCAGGCACCTGGCATTGCTGGCTCCAAGTCTGCAATGCCCTCTCCGGGCCCAGGAGTGCTGCCACCCAGCATCGTCATCCTGCTGCTGGCCCAGCACAGCCGAGCCGAGCGCTTCAACAAGCGCGGAAAGGGCCATCTTCAGTTGCATTTTCCCCAAAACTCTTTGAAGCCCCTTCCTAGTAAAAGGGGGGCAGCCGGGAGCTGCTGCAGGGGAGAGGGCGGCCCTGCTGCCAAGGCCTAGCAGCTGACCAGCACCTGGAGGTCCCAGAGCCCTGGTGCTCTGCTCTGAGTGATCCGTGAGGGAGCGGTTGAAAGCGGGAAGCTGAGGCTCAGGTGGAAGCACTGGAGACAGCAGAGCTGGCGGTGGGCTCCACCACTCAGAGGGTCGCCGGCGGCCCCTGGGTCTTGCTCACTGAGCTGGCAATGCACAGTGTGATCCCAGTCACGGTGAGCACCAGGCCTGCGGCGGCTCCTGCGGGGATACCGTGCAGAGGTCCGGGAGCTGTAAGCCTGGCTCCAAATCCATCCCCAACCTCTGTTCCCGACCCATCCTGCTGGGAGGAAAGAAAGGCCCTGAGGGCCACGGGGAAGGAAGTAGGAGCGCTGGAGGCTGGGCTGGGTTAGGCAGAAATGGGAATTGGCGGGCAGGCAAGTGGAGCAAGACCCTGGCGGTGCCCAAGATTGCACAACAGCTCCTGGTGATGGCCTTTGAAGCCCTGACTCGGATGGATGGCAGCTCCCGATAGCACTGTGACATGGCCACTGTGTTACCAACTGCCCAAACCGCAATGAAAAATTCCCGAACTGCCTTCACTTCAGGCCAGTACTATAAAACCCTTCCCCTCTGTCCCAGGCTGCAGGACTTCCCAGGCCCCCAACTGGGGACCCATGAACCTCACCTGGGTGCTCAGGACGCTCCTGTCCTTTTCTCTGTACTCCCCTCCCTCCTGGTGGCTGACTTCCCTGGCCCCAACTAGGGACCCGTGAGCCTCGCCCGGAGCTCTGTAATAAACCTTTAAAACTATTACCTGCCTTTGCCTTCTTTCTTTCCATCGCCAAACTACCTTACAGACTGCAGGAGTAACCGGGCAGGGTGGGGAAGGCCCTCTCCCTGCCTGCCCACTTTTCAGTTGGCAGCCTGGCCCCTTACGCAGTTGGGTTCTGGAAGGAACCAGTGAGGGTATCTCAAAGCCCAAGTTGCTTCCCGCCCTCACAGCGGTGTGACTTACGTTTTCCACCAACGTCTTCTCCAAGTACCTTTCCAACAATCAATGTGAAGACAACGGCCAGAGAGTTACAGATGGGCACGGCCAGGGTTAGATCTGTGCAATCAGAATGAGCAAAATCACCGAGAGGCCAAAAATGCCTTTCTAGGCACAAAAAACATGCCTGGCCATAAGGACAAGCAAGTCTCCCTTGGAAGAGGGCAGCCCGACTGCTCCTTAAAAGTGAGTACTTTGGACATGTGATCAGGAGAGACTGGTCCCTGGAAAAGATCATCATTCGTGATAAAACAGAGAGTTAGGGGGAAGAGGAAGACCGACCCTCAAGGAAACGGGCTGACACAGTGGCTTCGGCAATGGGCTTACACACAACAATTGAGAGGATGGCACAGGGCCGGCAGTGTTCCTTCTGTTATAAATAGGGCCGCTACAAGTCTGAATAGACGCAAAGGCACCTGACACCACCAGGCAGAAAACACACCGGGTTCATCAAGATAGCACCCTAAGGGAGGAGCCATGCCTTCACTTTCTGGGAGAGTTGCAGCAAAGCTCAGGCCTCAAGACCCCAACATCAAGTTCAATGCTTCCTCGGGGCTCCAACATGAAGACCTGGTCCCTGAGGTCTGGGACCACCGTGTGTGAAGATGAGGACGAGGTCTTTATATTCAGCGCCACAGCACCCAAGGACACCCGGGAGTGCATACGGCCAGGGCTTTTCAAACATTCTTTAAATGAAATTCTAGGAAAAGGGCAAAGTATGAATCATTGGCAGCATTGAGGGGTTTCCAAATGCACTTTGGGGTCCAGAGTCCCCTCCAGTCTCCTAGGGCCCTGGGTGAGACTCCAAGGGTAGCAAAGCCAGTGCAGCACTGCAGGGACTGCTCAGAGCCAAGTGCAGACCGTGAAAGGAGGTGATGTGTGCCTTCAGGGTCTGCACTGACCTGTGGGACTTGGTGAAATTACTGCTCCCAACTTTGCAGCCTCATCTCTGAGCGGGGCAATCATGTCTGCGTCACAGGGTCATGATGGGAATTAAATACACGGTGCAGTACGATGGAATGCAAGTTCGGATACTTGCTGTGGCATGGATGAACCTTGAAAACATTATACTAAGTGAGGTAAACCAGCCACAAAAAGCCAAACAATATTGTATGGTCCCGCCCATAGGAACCGTTTCTCACTGATTGACAGCGACTTGATGCCTATTCACAGACACCCTATAAGACAGAGTAGAACTGCCTCTGGGGCTGTACCTTTGTCTTCTCCCCCCAAGTGGCTGGAGTATTCAAACTGCTGACCTTGCTCTTAGCAACCAAATGCACAGCCAATCCGCCACTGCTCCAAACTACCCAGAAGCAGCAAACGACCGCAACCACGATTTCTTATTGGTTAGCAGGAGGGTGATGGGGACATTTGGAAATGGAGAGTAGTGATGACTACAAAACATGTTGACCATTAGGTCACAGAACTATACATGCAAACAAGTTAAAATGTCCTGTTAAACATATTAATCATGATGAAAAATAGGAAAATGTGTAAGATTAGCACTGTCTGATGCAACAGAGGCCAGCCAACAGGGAGTGTTAGAAAGGAAATGTCTATTTCTTGAGCTCCTACTGTGTGCCAGCACTCTGCTAGACGTTTCTCAAACATGATTAACTGCCACCCCAACACTGCTATGAAGTAGATCACATGAAGGCCCTGTTCAAGGTCAAGGTAGCATGCAGTGGAGACAAGAGGGTCAAGGCCAGCATTTGGCTCAAGAAGAAACTTCCTCCTATGCTGCTGCACAAGATGGCCAGGCTGCACACCACAACCCCCAAAACAGCCCACTGTGCCCCTGCTGCTGAGAGAAGGGGGTGCAAAGGGGACCAGAGACGGAGTGCTTTCTCTCGCTGACAGGAACAGAATTATTTCCAGCTCCTTCCCCAAAATGACTCTCCCCAGTGGGTGGGGTGGGGTGGCCTCTGCCCCCAAGCAGGACCTGTCCAAACTCAGACCCACCTGTGGACGCCAAGGTGAGGTAGTAGAGAAGGGAGCCACACTGGTTAAGGAGGAAGGGTATCAGGTACTAGAAACAAGAGAAAGCTGGGGTAAGTGTGCTTGCTGGCCCGAGCAGCACTGGCTTCTTGGCGCTCCCAGGATGGCTTTCCTTGGAGGAGGGGACCTTTCCAGGGCAAAGAGGGAAACAATTCCTGACTGAGCTTCAGGCTCTTGCCCAGGAAGGTCCTCTCCTTTAGTGCAGTTAGTTCCCATCCCTCCTAGCAAATGTCACCTCCTCCCGGAAGCTTCCCTCTTCTAAAATTCACAGAGCACTTCGCCTGTACCTTCCCAAGTGAGCCCATCGCCCAGAGAGGTGGTTGTGTCCATGTCTCCTCTTGATCACTAGCTTAGACCGGCTACCCTGGAGTCAGAAGCAGTTCATCCTCTACCCTCCCCTCCCCAGTTTGTGCCCCCCAAGCCTGCCCTCTGGGAAAGGGCTGTTGGAAACTAGTAAATATAATAATAGCAGCCATGATCTGAGCTGCAAAATCATTCACGTGTCTCGTTGCTCTCAATCCTCTCAATGCCCTAGAAAGTGGGACATGACGAGTCTTACGATGATCCCCACTTTGCAGATTTTGAAAGTGAGGCTGAGGCAGGACAAGAGTGCCAGGCCTGGAGTACCGAGTGGCAGGGCCAGGGCTCTGTTCCCAAACTTGTTTGAACCCAGCGATCAAGTCCTTAGCGGTCCCCCTGGAGAGGCCGGCTGTTCAGGGACGCACCTCGGTATTCAAGAAGAGGGTCTTCATCTCCCGCAGCAATTGCTGGACCCAGGTACGCTCATGAACTTGTTGCAGGCCGGCGGAGGCCCGCTTCAGCAGCGGCTGCGTGCCACCCCAGAGAGCGGCCACCAACACCAGGGCCAACACCTGCCCTGGATGGAGGCTCAGGTCACTCGGTCCGCCCCGACCGGCCGCCCGCCTGCCCGCCAGGCCCGGCCCTCCGCAGGTCTCCACCCCGGGCCGGGCCCCCGGGGGCCTCCTACCCCCCCGCCCCCTCTCTCGCATGTGATTGGCTGGAGGGCTAAACGCGAAAGGGGATCCGCCCAGGGGTCTGGGGCCGGAATAGTGGGCCAAAGGATTGCAAGAAAGGGGTAAAGTGGAAAATGCTGTGGTGGTCGGGAAGCCCATCGAGGGGCGGGACCCGTAACGTACCGAATGACGCCGCCATGGCAACGCCGCTCTCCGACTTCCGGGAACGGAGGGGGCGGAGACCTATAACCGGAAGTTGCGTCAAGGACCTCTTCCGCTCCTGCTCCAGCCACCAGCCTCCTCGCGTCACCGCCGGCATGGTGAGTTCCACTGGGTCGGGGTGCCGGGTCGGAGGTCCCGGGCTGGGGCAGGGGTCCGATTCCGGCTGCTGACACTCGCGTCCCGTCTCCACAGAAGCCGATCCTGTTGCAGGGCCACGAGCGCTCCATTACGCAGATCAAGTACAACCGCGAGGGAGACCTCCTCTTCACGGTGGCCAAGGACCCTGTGAGCGGCAGCCGGGGCCCGCGGGCGGGACCACGCGGAGGGCATCGGAAGGGGCGAGCCCAGCCCGCCCGGGAGCTGGCTGGGCACGCGAACGCGGCCGCCCCAAGAGCGGGGCCCCAAGAGCCCACGGGTCTGGGAAGAGGGAGCCCGGACGGGGCCATTCCGAGGAAGAACAAAACCCATCCTAGCAGGAGAGGAGAGGAGCAGCCCAGCTCTCCGAGAGGAAAGCGGGTCCTTGAGTCTCGAGGGACTCGGGGGATATCGTGGGGTGGGGGTGCAATGGTTAAGCACTGGGCTTTTTTTTATCCAGGAGTAGGCGGTTCGAACCCACTCCCACCCCAGTGACTCCGGGAGAGAGAGCGACTTGGCGTTCCTGTAAAGATTGCGACTTAGAGAATCCCATGGGGCGATGTGACTGTCAGGCGATGGCTATGTCGAAAGGCAGTGGGCTCGCTTGCGCGAACAGCCCCTCCGGGTACTGGCTTCTGAAGCACCTCCACAAAGAGAACGTTCACACAAGTGCTTAAAAGTGGGGCTCTCACGCCAGACAGATTTGAATCCCGACTAGGCGTCCAGTAGCATTGTGACTAAACTCCTTAGATGCCATTTCATTGGCGCCTCCCAGGTGCCCTTTGAAGGGAGCATGATTGTGGCGGCCACTCAACAGCTGGAAAAACAAGGGCAGAGGGGAGACGTACTCTATTTGAAATAATACAGTGACATAATAAAGGAGCATAAGCTTTCCCTTTGCTGAGTGAACTAGAACTCAGCTTAAACTGTTATTCTCCTGAAGGTCTGGGCCTGTGTCAGCTGGGGCAATGCCAAGAGAAGACACTTGTAAACCTCCGAACCCCTCTGTAGATTGTAGAGGCTACTGAGGGCCTCGGCGGTAAAGGAGGCCAGTGCTCGCCTTGGGAAGTTAGCATCCTATCTTTTGATTCCTCCAGATCGTCAATGTTTGGTACTCCGTGAATGGCGAGAGGCTGGGCACCTACACGGGCCACACCGGAGCCGTGTGGTGTGTGGACGCTGACTGTATCCTTATTGTTACGTTGAGTCCAAGTCCATGCTCCGAGGGCCTGCCTGCAGCGGAGAGGCTGCTGAGTGTGGGGCTGGTGGGTCAGGATGCTGTTGGAGCTCTGGAGAATGGTCACGCTCTCTGAGTCTCTTCCCTGGTTGGGGGAACAGTGGGGAAAACTTCTGGTTGTGGATGAGATGCTTAAAATGCTTGGAGGTCAGAAGGAGGGAGGAAAGGTTGTTGGGAGCTGAAGGTGGAAGGAATTCAGCGGACCTCCCAAGAGAATAGAGGCTCCAGTGAACTTGGGTTGTTTCCTTAATCCCCACTTCAGGGGACACCAAGCATGTCCTTACAGGCTCCGCTGACAATAGCTGTCGCCTCTGGGACTGTGAAACAGGTAAGCCTGGGCCCTTTGCTTGCAAAGGTGGGTGATCTACAGCGCGCCTCTTTAAGGAAGAAGTTCTGGGGAAACAGATCCCAGGACGGTCCCCAGACTAGGGAATGAGAGACTGCTGAGAGTAAGGAAGACAGATGGTCAAAGAGGCGCTGCAGTAAGATCAAAGCTGGTGGAGGAAGCCGAGAGGACTTGGGAGGGCTGAGGGGACAGCTGACTGCCTGGAGTGGGGGTGAGAACAGCCAGGGACGGTTTCCAGGGTGCATGTCATATGAGCTGGGGCTTGAAGGATGACAAAAGGTCGTCACTTTGGCTGATGTGGGAATGAAAGTACAGCAAGCGTCTAGTCTAAGTCATCTGATCTCTCTGCAGTTGGGCAGGAGCTAGATGAGGCTGAGTAGGTGATAGGCCATAGCCGAACAGAGCTGGAGTATCGTCTCAGTAGCGTACTTAGCAGGCTCTGCAGGCCCTGGAGCAAGGAAGAGTGGTAGGCTGTTTCCTTTTGCCAAGTTCAGGCAGCATGCCTTAGAGCAGTGACCAAAGACGAGGAAGCCTGTAACGGCTTCACTGGGTGGATATTTACTGGGTACTAGGACCACAGAAAAATGAGAGTAAGTCTTTGCTGAGAGGGAGCCAGCTACATACCTTGCAGTCAAGGACCAGGACAGGGATGGATCGGAGGAGAAATGGTAGTAGCGCTTGATGCCTGGCAGGTGTGTAGGAAGTGTCTTCTCCAATGGCCTGGGCCGGGAGGTAGCCCAGACTCTGCTGGTTCCCAGGAAAGCAGCTGGCCCTTCTCAAGACCAATTCAGCTGTCCGGACCTGTGGCTTTGACTTTGGGGGCAATATCATCATGTTCTCCACGGACAAGCAGATGGGCTACCAGTGCTTTGTGAGCTTCTTCGACCTTCGGGACCCGAGCCAGATCGGTAAGGGCTGGGGCTGGGCTTAAGGTGAAGGGGGGCAGCTCCAGAGCCGGGAGCCTGACATGCGCCACCCCCCAGACAGCAATGAGCCCTACATGAAGATCCCTTGCAGCGACTCTAAGATTACCAGCGCGGTGTGGGGCCCCCTGGGAGAGTGCATCATCGCTGGCCACGAGAGCGGAGAGCTCAACCAGTACAGCGCCAAGGTAAGGGGCCACCACATAGGGCCGGGCCCACCAGAGGGAGGCCTTTCCTGAGACAGACTGCCACAGTGGGGAACAGCCAGGGCTGGGCTCCAATAGCGATTCCATCCATCCCTACCCGTGAGATCTTGGGCAAGTGGCAGAACTTCCCTGAGCCTGCTGGTTGGTAAAAATGCCCTCGGGTGGTTGAACCACTTGGCTGGGGGCACATTCGTAATAGCCACAGATGAGTGTCCTCTGCACCACGACGTGCCCTAGGAGCACATGTGACGCAGGCCTGGGCCTTGGTTGCTGCCCCAGTGGGTGACCGACTCCTGAACAGCTTGTGTGTGTGTCCAATCATGAGTGTGCCCCCACCGGTTCTCAACACCTGGTCACAGAGCGGGTGGCGTGTGGATTGTTACGTCATGAAGAGTAAAAGGTGCCTCACGCCGGAAGGAAGGGGAGCGGTCACAGCAAAGGGCTGGTGGTTTGGGGGTGCATGGAGGGAGTCCAGGGCTGGTGGTATTGGGGTAGGTGGTTAGCCATTAGACAGGAACTGAGTGTCAGGAGGTTGGGGTCTTGGGTGATGAGAATTTCTCCGAAGAATGCTTTGGGGGGCTGCTTTGGAGAGTGGCCGGGGGATGCAGCGGAGCACTGGGCAGAGCCAAGAGAGCTTTAGGGGTACGTGAATAGATAGAAGCAAGAGCCTGGATACCCTATAGAAATAGATAGTACAACATGGGCAGATACGACATGTGTACACATGTTTATCACAGCCATTTTCCACAATAGCAAACACAGGAAGCAACCACACCCCCACTACAGAGGAATGGACAAAGGCACTCTGGGACAATCAGACTGTGGAATTTTATGCATCAGTAAAAGACAGCAACAACTCTTTTTTTTTTTTTTTTTTAATTGGGGACTCTTACAGCTCTTATCACAATCTGTACCGTACATAAATCCATTGTGTCAAACACATCTGTACATATGTCATCATCTTTCTCTAAACACTTTCTTTCCACTTGAGCCCTTGGTATCAGCTCCTCATTTTTTTTCTCCCTCCCCCATGCCCCCTTGATAATTTATAAATTATTCTTTATTTTTATTTTTTTCATGGTTTACACCAACTGCTATTTCCCTTCACCCACTTTTCTGCTATCCATCCCCCTGGGAGGGGGACCATGCATTGATTATTGTGATCCGTTCCCCCTTACTCCCCCACCTTCCCTTACCCTTTAGTATCGCTGCTCCCCTTATTGGGCCTGAGGGGTTTATCTGTTCTGGATTTCCTGTGTTTCAAGCTCTGTACCAGTATACATGGTCCGGTCTAGCCAGATTTGTAAGATAGAATTGGGGTCATGATAGTGTGTGTATGTGGGGAGCATTAAAGAACTAGAGGAATGTTGTATGTCTCGTCGGTGCTAAACTGCACCTTGACTCTCTTCCTCGTGGCCCTTCGGGCAGGGGGTGTCTAAGAGTGGCTTTGGGTCTCCACTCTTCCCTCCCCCTCATTCCCATTGATAGGATTTTTTTGTTTTGTTTGGGGTCTTTGATGCCTGAAACCAGATCCCATTGACACTTCATGGTCATACAGGCTGGTGTGCTGCTTCCATACGGGCATGCTTGCTTCTCAGCTGGATGGGACAGCGACAACTCTTAACACCGCAAGAGCAAGACAGGGACAAGACATTATGCTTAGCAAACTCAGTCAATCTTAGAAAGATATTTCATATCACCATTGTGGAAAACCAAGACGAATCATGGTTTATACACCACTAGACAAGCCTTTGATGATTAGGAGGAAGTCGGGCATGGGGAGATGAGAAGGGGGACGCATACAAAAAACTGGAAGGTTTAACCGGATATCGTTGATGTCTTTAAAAATAAAAAAGAGCCTATGTGGCACAGTGGTTAAGGGCTGGGTCGCTAACCCAAAGGTCGGTAGTTCCAACCGGCCAACCATTCTACAGGCAAAAGCCATTCCACAGGCATCGGCTTCCATGAAGATGGAGGGAAGGGGGGGGGGGGAGGCGTGCCTCCGAAACCTCAGGGGGCCTTTCTGTTCGGGGCCATGGGTGTGATTGGGATTCAGTAGGGAGATTGAGGAGAGGGTGAGGCTCAGGTGGTCTCAGGTTTCTGACATAGGTGTCCGGGCTTTCAGGGCAAGCACTGAGAGTGGCCCACAAGGGAAG